GGCGGGAGCGCCGCCATGCTCCCAAGCGCTGCACTCTACCGAGTGCGCCACCGGGCCGGCCCCTCAGTTTTTAAAATATGGCAATAAACCCTGATACCCTCGCCTATGGGCCAAGATTCTTTTAAGTTCAAAGGAATTATCAAGTATGGAAAATAGAGGGGGGAAATTCTGAATTTCTAGTCTTGTGCAATCATCATTTTTAACTGCTTTCCAGCCTTTTTCATTTATGTTTTTACAAAAAAGTGTCCAGAGCTGGCCACTTAGCTCCGTTGGTTAGAGTACCACCTTGTACACCACGTATAAGGGTTCGGATCCCTGTACCAGCCAGCCATCAAAAAACAAGCAAAAAGTTAAAAACAATAAAAAAAGTTCAAATAATTCTTTAATATGCAAAATGAAAATAGTTATATCACAAGCATCTTTCCATTCTTCAGGCTTTAAGTTTAGTCATATAACATTCCATCATCAAGTGGAACCACTATGTCTACTTAATCACCTTTTATTCATAAGAAATTCTTCACTGTTATCATAATGCAATGAACATCTTTGTTATTGACTATAATTTTTCATTTTTGCTTAATTCCCCTAAATAGGAGTAAAGAAGAAAGCTTATAAACCTTGATCCAGTCTAGCTGGAATCCAGTATAACACTCCTGGTATAATAAAAAATATATCTTATCTTTGTCCCTAGTTCCTGGCACAGAGCTCCTAAAACCCTTGGAATCTCCTGAATGACAGAGATTTTGTTATCCATAACAAGCCCCTTTCAACCATACCTTAGTTTATGCTAATGAGGTTACTCCCCGAGGGCCCTAGACAGCTTCATGATGGGGGATAGTTGCCAGAAAAACCAAGCAGGTCATTAGAGGTTTATAACTTTCAGACCTACCCCATTCCCAGTCTCCAGGAATGGAAGAGAGGCCAAAGATAAGAGTTCAATCACCAATGGCAATAATTTAATCAATCATGCTGACGTAATGAGATCTCCATAAAAACCTCTAGACAATGGGGTTCAGCAAACTTTTGGGTTGGTGAATACATCAAAATGCTTAGAGGGTGGTATGCCCGGAGGAGGCATGGAAGCTCAGCACACCTCCCCACCCCATATCACCCTACGCATCTCTTCCATTTGGCTGTTCCTGAGTTGAATCCTTTATAATAAATCAGTAAACATAAGTGTTTTACTGAGTTCTGTGAGTTGTTCTAGTGAATTATCAAACCTAAAGGGGGGTGGAGGGAACCGCAAAATTTGTAGCCAAGTTAGACACAAGTGCAGGTACCCGTGGTGACCATGGATTTGCAACTGACATCTGAAGTGAGGGAAGTCTTTTGGGACACTAAGCCCCTTAACTTCTAGGGTCTGCACTAACTCTAAGTAGTGTCTTAACTGAGTTGAATTGTAGGACACTCCGTTGGTTTTGGAGAATTACAGAAATGCAGAATCGCTTGGTGCCAATCAGAAAGACCTGAGGCTCTTCAAATCAACAAAAAAAATTAAAACACTAAAACTAACCTATTTTTAGTTTCCTTTATATTATAGGAGTTATGATTCACTCTGTTAGGAGGATACATAGAAAAGTTGTCATTGGAACTGGCATCTTGATCATCATCTTCCTCCTCTTCATCTGTCCGAACAAGTCCTTCAGAAAGGTAACCATCTTCATCTCCTTCTTCATCTAGTGCACACTGGGTAGAACCTCCCCAAGTTGCCATTGTTCTAGTGATTAAGAGACATAATAGATATCATTTGGAGATGAGCTAAATACTTTGCCACCTATTATGTGCCAGACATTTTATCAAACACATATATACATATGTGTATATAAAATTTCATTTAATAATAGTAACTCTTTGAGATAGGTGGTACTCTTGCTATTGTTGGTGTATTAGTTTGCCTTCCACAAAATGATTCTTCAAGTAAATTAAAATAGTCATCATATCCCCTGGGACTTTCTTCCTAAACTAAACCTCCCTCAATTTTTCCTTGAGTGAGTTTTCTAGATCAGTGCTGTTCAACAGAACTTTCTGCAATAGTGGTAAATATCTACTACATCATCTAGTGCCATCCAATAAAGTAGCTGCTAGGTACACATGGCTACTGTGCACTTAAATGTGGCCAATATGACTGAGAAAATGAATTTTTAATTTCATTTGATTTTAACTTAAATAGCCACTGGTATCTAGTGACTGCCATATTGAAAAGCACAACCCTAGACCAACAGTTCTGAAACCAGATGCTCATCAAAACTATCTGAATAACTCTTAAGAGAACAGATGTGCAGTGCCCAGAACAGAATAAAATATGTGCCTTGATCAATAAAATACATATTGGGACTCCAAGAACAGGAAAAGTTCTTCTCAGAGGAAGAAAGAGAATGAAGCTCGAAGCAATTGTTCCAGAAATACGATCTGGAGTTACCAAAAGGTAAGGTGACAACAAATCTGGATTTCAAAATTTTAGATATAAATATTACTACACAACTAAGTAATTTACTGATCTTATAGTTGATCAACCTCTAAGAAATATTCTAAATGCAGAAATTTCAAACTTAAATCCTAAAAACTAAATGTTGATTATAATAAAATGTTTTAAGATCCTTAGCAACCTTACAAGCAGCAGATGCTCAATTTAAGTAAAAAAGTGCTTATTTCTGGCCTGACAGAAAAACGCTATAAAATAGCAAGCATTTTCTTTTTACATGCTTAAAACGTAGATAAGGAAATAAGGCTTATACACAAAAGAAATCTATAATCACCATCTGATCACGTGCCATAGTAATTTAAAAGAGAAAGCTAATGCTATGAGAATTTAGAATATAAAGTGGCTATATTCAGTAAAATGACTCACAAAGGTGATACTTAAAATACTGGCCTCACTGAAATAGCAGATATGTACCATGGTATAGAGGGGAAATGAGGCCTAGCCAACAAGTCTTAGGTAGGTGATGTTAAAAAGAAGTGATAAAAACAACTCTTACTTTTCTGTTCTACTTTGTTGAGGAGTACAAAGATTTTCAGACCCACCACTTCTCAATGACACAGCCACTGGAGATGTAGTTTCAGCTAGACCTTGCCTCCTCTGATGTTCAGCCATCAGAGCTTCAAGTTGCTTTCTTCTCTGTCGCAGCTCTTCCCTTAACATTTCATGTCTTCGCATTTCTGACCACAACTATTTTTTTTAAAATCATGGTCAAGTAAATATTTGAATTTTCTGTAGCCTTAAAAAATAACAGGCTAAAAATACTGTAAGTACCAACAAACCTTTCTGTTCTCATTTTACCCTTTTTACACTAAGATATCCATGGAAGTTAAGTTTAGTGATGAGTAAGAAACAATTATGCAATCATTAATTCTTAATGAAAATAAGCAGCAACCAAATATACTTTCATGAACTATTTAGGAAAACTTATTTTCTATAAATCACTTATAAATAAAATACCAAAGGATAGGTCTTTGTAACTGAAATGATTACTATTTGCTGCAACTATCCCCTTATAATGCTACAAACATTTACTAATAAACAGCTTGACTATTTTGAAAACCCCATCATAATTATTTTATTTGGAAAAAACTGGCTTCGTCCCCCAACCAAAAGACACAAAACACACTAGCATTTAAAAACATTTTTCACAGATACTGAGTTTCTCTTCTTAAAATGTGCCTTAAGGGCAACTCAGGAACAACAGGGTACAATTTACAGTACCTCATTATCTACCACCGAGGAATCTTCAGGCTCAAAACCAGGTTTGCTTGTACTGGCCTCATTTTCATTAACAGTTGGGGTTGAAGTAACAGCTGGCATATATTTTTTTGTGGGACAATTACCCACACTAGCAGCTGACAGCTAAAAAAGAATTGGTAAAAACTATTAGGAAGAATTAAAGCAACTATATTCACTTCATAAAAGCAGTTATTTTAGTTCTTCTCTAGGACTCTAGTGCCACATTTAATCTGTTATCACCAGACCCAAACTGCCATCATCATCCAAAGATAGCCTGACATAAGAAAACTAAATGTGAATACAGGCTAAAGTAGTAACCCTCAGGAACAAGAGAGACTACAGAGATAAAATGTTACTGTGGAAAATGTACTCAACTCAACTCTGCCACATATTCTTCTAGACATTATTTAGATTACGTATAAGGGAAAAAATGATTAGATAAAGTAGAAAAGGTAAAGAGTCTAGAAAATAAAGTCATATAAGAAACACGTGCTTCCGTTTGAAAACAAACTCTGAAGAATAAAACTAACCAATAATTTTAGGAAAATCTCAAAAAGAATTGTTATTCCCTTCCCTATGTTAACCCTATACCTCATTAGCTGACATGGTCAAAGATAGCTTATTCTCTGTTAAATCTCAAAGACCCATGTATAGGGGACTACTTAATTAAATGCATATAAAAAAAAGTATATACATTTAATATGAAACTACACATAATCATTTCCTTTGGATAACTTAAGGTGGCTTAAGGGCTTTGTTAAGTAATTTTAGTCCAGTAAGAGATGGAAATGCTGGTCCATAACTGCAAAGTTCAAACCAGAATATTTTAATAAATAGTTATAAGTACTCACGTTCTGAATCTATGGCTAGCTAGCCCACTAAGTAAAAAACTGAAAATAATCACAGTTAATTCTTATGTGCTGTCTTTCATAGTGTAAATATATATCCATAACCCATTTCATTAATCACAAAATTAACAGATATAAATCTGTCCCCTCAGTATTAGAAAAAGGCAAAGACTACAGCAGCCCCATGATATCCATTGGTACATATCCATGGAACCAACCAACTGCGGATCAAAAAATATTCAAGGGGAAAAAAATGTGTCTGTAGTGAACATGTAGACTTTTTTTCCTTGTCAATACAGCAGCCCCATGATATCCATTGGTACATATCCATGGAACCAACCAACTGCGGATCAAAAGATATTCAAGGGGAAAAAAATGTGTCTGTAGTGAACATGTAGACTTTTTTTCCTTGTCAATATTCCCGAAACAATGCAGTATAAGAACAATTTACATATCATTTACATTGCATTAGTTATTAGAAGTAATCTAGAGATGATTTAAAGTATAGGTTATATGCAAATACTATACGATTTTACATCACAGAATTGAGTATCTGCAGGAGTCCTGGAACCAATCCCCCATAGATACCAAGGGATGACTGTACTTTTGGCTAACATTAGGTTTTAAACATCTTTTTCAGACAAATGAAAAGCAATAAATTTCATAATTACCTGTAGGTCAGGACATGCCTTTTGCAATGCTTGAATTTTCTCCTGAATCTCAATCAGTTTCTTTCTTTCTTCTTGCAATTGTTTTAGCTCTCTCTGTTGCTGCTGCAGTTTAGCTTCGTAAAATTTCTCTCTATAATTAAATTGACATATTTGGGGACTCCAATAAAATTTAATGACAGTACTAAGCACAACATAACACAGTACCTAGATGATGACCTTCTCTGTAACAGGCACTAAATTTTTATTAACTGAAGGCCAAAAGCTTAACATACCTTGCCTTTTCATTTACTCCAGCATCTTTCTGTGTTTTACTGGCATTTCCTCTAGAATTATTTGAATTTTGTTTGGTGTTGTCTTCTGCTGGGTAGAAATCATCCACTTTTGAAGTATTGGCAGAGATCACTCCTTGAGCTGCATCACCATCCTAAAACAGTATCATTATATTAAAACAATCTTGATATCTAAAGACATTATCCAACTCACACCTTAGTAAATACCACCAGTCAGTAAACTTCACATAATATAAAAAAATTAAAGCAGCAGAGAAAGTACGTGTGTGTTTGTATACATGTTTATGTCTTCCCCTTAACAGTTCTTCTTATAACAGGAGAAATTTTAAAAAGTCAATCTCAGTAATGGTTAAATAAGCTCAATATATCGATATAATAAAATGTAATCAAGGATATGGGAAAACGGACTCTCATACACCATTGATTAGAGTACCGATTAATACAGTCATTCTGGAATGCAATTAAGCAGTATCCATTAAAATTAAAATGTAAATAAACTATAACTAGTAATTCTACTTCAAATCTAACCTTGAAAAACAAATGCATACAGGCTTGTGCAAGAATGTTCAGTGGGGCATTGTTTCTAAACAGTGAAAGACTGCAAACAACAAAAGTATACATTAACTAAATTAAGGTCCACTGATACTACAGAAAACCATGCTGCGGCTAAAAAGAATTATATGTACTGTACATAAACACACAGTATAATAATATTTATATTTTATATTTATCTATACATCTATATTTCATAATTATTTATCTATATAATTATATAAAACTGTATATACTGACATGAATAGTTCTCCAAGATATTGTGGAGTCAGGGGAAAAAAGCAATCTTTAAAATAATACTCAGTGTACTATACAATTTTTAAAAACACAAACATAAAACTTTATGTACTTTTTTTAATAGATGCATAGTGATGTATGTAAATGCACAGCAAAGGTCTAGCAAAACAGAATCTGTAATTTCTGGGAAGGAGAACAGGATTATGAGCACATTCACCTTTTACCTGAGTAATTCAAAGTAAGTAGCATTTCAAAAGAAGCTGTGAATAATACTTTAGCTTTGCATTCACGATAAAAAACATTTTACATACCTTTATAAATGTGGTTAATTTTAATGTTTATATTCCATTTTTTTCAACCTAAAATAAGCTAAACAAACCTTAATGAAAATAAGCATTCATTAATTTTATCAGAGGTGTAACACCTGCTGATATTATCTAAGTTATAGTTACCATCATTAGAAGTTTTTGCCTCCAAATCATACAGATTTTAATACTTCAGAAAGCTTCTCTACAATATTTCTGTAGTGATTACATCACTGCGAAAAACTTCAGGATATATAACAGATGAAAAACATGAAAATAAGTGATTTTTAAAGTTACATCATTTTTTGTTGCTCTAGATAGATCATATCTAGTCTGTAAACTGCAAAAAACTAAGTCTTTGAAACACATCAGTCAATACAGAAATGTTAATATTTATGTAATTGCATGTTCATGTGTATAAACTGCTTTTTAAAATTTATATGAATAGTTCCAACTTTATTTTTTGGCCTTACTGAATAAGACAACATATGGTTTTTCTTTTATGAAAAGTGGGTCAAGATCTCAGGTTCTGATATCAGGCATTCTAAATTCTGGCTTGGATAGTTGTATAACATTGGGCAATTAACACCTCTTCAATCTGTTTAAAATCAGCCTTATTGAGATGATATAAGGCCAGAGTCATGAGCAAAAACCACACAACAAAAAACCCTGTTTTTGTAAATAAAGCTGTATTGGCACACAGCCTTGCTCATTTGTTTATGCAATATCTACAGCTCCTTTTGTGCTGAGAAGTTGTAACAGAGACTGTAAGACGTACAAAGCCTAAAATTTTTACTAACATCCTTAATAGAAAAGGTTTGCTGACCTCTGATGTAGGCATGTAAAGTGCTAAGCATTTAAACCTGGCATATAATAAATAAATGTGTACTAGTATACCAACATAATTATCAGACACATACACAAATTTTACTTATAAGTAAGACTATACTATTTGACAAACAGTATTTTAAAAAAACAATATTTACCTGTACCATAGCAACGAGATCTTGTAACTGTCTAAGTTTCTGTTTTGCAGCCATAAGTCTACTGATCTTCTGCTCAAATTCAGCATCTTCTGGAACCTCATCAACCAGACTGCTCCTATGACTAGATACTGAAGCTCCACTTACTCTCTCCTCTTCTGCTTCCTCCTCCTCTTCCTCATCATCTTCACCATCAGCAACATGAATACCCTGTTCTCCTTCTCTATTATATCGACAATCTGTTGAAAACATGTATCATTAAAATCAATTAAACTTAAGAGTACTAAAGAATCTACTAGAAAAAGTACCAGAAAATCTACTTCACAAGACTAATATGGCAAAATTATCTGTGAATATAGTCAATCATACCTAAAGAAGGAGGCATATTTAGAGCCCTTATGTTGGCAGCAGATCTGTTGTTAATTTCACAATTAGAATTAACTGATCTCCCATCTCTATTATTAGAAACGCATTGTGCATTACTATTACTATTTACTTCGTTCCAGGTGGCAGCTACTTGTGGATTTCTAAAAGAAAACAGCCTGAAGTTATTTAAGGTTATAAAAAACGAAATCAAATTTTAAAACCGCTGATTAAAATGATTCCAAACTAAGAACACTGGTTATTACGTTTTTCCATTTAAATTCAAACTCTGAATAACTGGCTCCTACTCTTCATTAACTTCTGCATATGTGCTATTTGGAAATTTAAGAAGAAAAACATCTGAAAAATCAAAATTACACCTAAAAATAAAGGGGTAGGAAGATGCTAAATTAGATACTTCTTATGATTCACTTATCTCATACCTAACAAACCGCAAATTTACTTAACTACTGTACTCAATATTTCCCTATCTGCATAGGGGTAGGAAGATGCTAAATTAGATACTTCTTATGATTCACTTATCTCATACCTAACAAACTGCAAATTTACTTAACTACTGTACTCAATATTTCCCTATCTGCATGACTATTCTATCTTTTGCTTTGTTCTCAGTTTTCCATTAAGAAAAAAATGACCTTTCAGAGTCATCAGGGCATACAGGCGTGACACTGAGGGTTGCGATCCCGTTACCGGTCACGAAAAAAGACAAAAAGGAAAAAAAAAGAAAATGCAATATTAAAAATACTTCTAGGTTTCTTAAGTATCAAAATGGAAAGTATTCAGTTTAAATACTACCTCTCAGGCAAATCAGGTATACAGACATTATCGAGCATTTACAGAAGATTCTCAATTTGTCTACAATTATAGCGACCTATAAAGTATATATATGTAATACGTTTACCAAAAGTAACAATTAAGTCTATTGAGATCTTACTAAATGCCAAGAACAGTGCCAATGTTTTTTAACCCTAAAAACACCTTTATGAACAGAACAGACATATTATCATCCCTTTTGCAGATGAGGAAACAGGCTTAGTAGGGGTAAGTTATTTGTCCACAGTTGCATAACCTTGTGTGATACAATTTTCAGTGCTGTCTGACTTTAGAGTCTGGGCTCTAAACCATTTGCATATAGAAATATTTTAACTGTAATCCTAGCTACTTTTGATTCTTTATTTGAAAAACAAGAAAATAACATCAGTTCACAGAAATTACCTGTGTTACAATGTTACATTTCTCTTGGCCAACTCAAAGAAGGCACATTTAACACACACCAATGTTTATCATTCATAATAAATTCAATTTTGCCAGAATTTTCAACAAAGGAAAAAAACCCAGAATTTATCCCTATTATTTAGTTCTAAGCTATGTAAACAATTGTAAAAAATGTTTTACTGGAGTTTTTCAGTTGGATTTAGATGGTCTTCATTTTCACATTCATTCTGAGAGATTAGAGAAGCCGTAGGATAAGGAACAGATGATGTGAGACTATTGGATTCTCCATTGACAACCGGTGCTAAGCCTACAGGAGCAGAGACAGTTGAAGTTGTACTTCTCTGATCCACAGTTCTTTGAGGAGAGGCTGAAGAAGGCACAACTACAGGAAAGAAAAAAGTTACCAGTTACCACAAATAAACAAACATGGTATTAGGCAACACTTTTTCACAGTTTGCTTAGATATTAAAAAAAAAAAAGTAAAAAATCATTAATAATTTCTATAAATTTAAATTTTAGAAACTTAAAGCTACACCTAAGCCACTTGTTTATTAACATACTCCACAACTAAACACATCAAAATGCACACAGAAGACACATTTTTACTTCTTTCTTCCAGAGATTCTATCACTTTTACATTATAGTCACTTGGCTAAAACAGAAAAAAAAAAACAAAAAGGAAATTGATGAAAATTATGATATTCTACCTTGGAAAAATAACTAGAAAAGTATTCTGATAAACGCTAGGTTAAGTTAAGTAAGGACACTGTGTATGATGTGCAGTACACAATCTGCAAATTTTAATAGAGTAGCCCTATCTGATAAGGTCTTTGTTTTTCAAACCTACAGCCCAGAAGAGTTACATTTGGCCATCAAGACGAAGAGTTTCTTGTTCCAGGAGACAAAGCAAAAGTGTTAAAGTGACTGTGGTACATCCACACCATGAAATACTACAAGACAATAAAATTTTCTAGTTAGATGATGGCTAATTCTCTACAGTCCTAGAACTAAACTTTAATTACTTTTCTGTCTACATACACCAAACAAAGGTATCATATATGCCTTCAAGGGCAATCTATGAAGATTAAGAATCTTTGCACTTACCTGTCTCCTACTACTGCAAAGCTATTGTCACTTATCTCTTTTTCACAGAGAGAGACCATTATTTGCTCCTTACTTTAATACCATAATTACTGTAGCTAGTTTCCAGTAGTTTCTGCACTATATTCCTTGACTATTCTATCTTTTGCTTTGTTCTCAGTTTTCCATTAAGAAAAAAATGACCTTTCAGAGTCATCAGGGCAGAGTGCTACTTTCTTCACGTGTATAAAACTGACCACAACACGTTAAGCACAACTTTTGAATTTTAAGTTTTTCTTAGTTGTGCTTATGTTTGTAAAGGATAATGACTGGGATTATACTCTAGAAGAGGAGTAAATTAACATGGGTAAGAAAAAAGAAAGGAGTATGTTTCAGGGCAGGAATAGTACAGTTCTTCTGGGAGTGGCACAGAAACAGATGTGTGGATAATAAGGAACAAGGACTCCAGAAATGACATTTTTATCCCTTGTCTTTTCTTTAAGTAAGACAGCGGCTGAATTGTTGAATAATAATGACCAGTTAGGGCTGACCTACTGACTCCAATTTCCAATGCAAGCCCCAATTACTATTTGGACAAGAGGCAGGAACCAGGCTTGAGAACATATTACGATAGCAATTGAACAGTAGTAACTACATGTGAAGACAGAGCAAGTAAAACATCATTGGAGCAGAAAAAAATAGTTCCTATAGTAATATCTGCTTAAGATGACTATTGATGTATTTAAATATATATATATATAGGCCCAGTGGTTCTAAGTTGTGTACTTTCTACACTAAACTATATGTACTATATAAGTTTTTCATATCTCACATTTGTTTTTTTCTATAAACATTCCCTAAATCTGTTTCACAGTACCAGCGTTGTTTTTTTTTTTTTTTTCCCCTTTTTGTCTTTTTTCGTGACCAGTAACGGGATCGCAACCCTCGGTGTCGCGCCCGCACCGCGCTCAACCAGTGAGCAGACCGGTCTCTATATAGGATCCGAACCCTTGGCAGGCACGCTCACAAGCACCGCACTCTACCGAGTGCGCCACCGGGCCAGCCCGAGTACCAGGGTTTTTAAATAAAAATATTAATTGAATTAGCTTTTCCTTAAGGGAAAATTTTGAATATATTAAAAAATACATTATTAGGTCCAAATATCAAATAGTTACCTTCTGTGCAACGTTTCCCTTATTAAAATCCTACCAATTTTTCAATGCCCAACTTTATTCTTTCCCTTTTCTGAATTATAAAACAGATTTACCATCTATTTGGCTTTTATCATATACTCGCTTGTTATTTAAAAACTTTTCACAAGCCTTATCTCCCTACAAAATTTTTAATTTTCTTGAAGAACTATATGTTCATTCATCATCAAATACTTACTTAAAAACTATTACGTGCTTAAGTGTCCTCTACCTAATACTACTAAACCAGATTTACTTACATGATGAATTGTTCAGATGCTGATCTCGAAGTATATGAAGTTCTCCAAGCAATTTGTCCATTTTTTGTTTCTTTTCCTGTAGCACTCTCATTTTGCTAAAAAGTTGGACTTTCTCATCAGGTAAATGTTCTGAAACTGATGGATTCCTGCCCTGGGAAACCTCTCTAGTTAATGAAAGACTTTCCGCCTGTCTTCTATTGTCTGGAACAGCTGGAGGCTTATAAAAAAACAAAGAAGAAAAATTAAAACTAAGGCAATTAAAGGTTGAATTCTCACTTTTAAAATGCATAAATATTCTTGGGCCGGCCCGGTGGCGCACTGGATCAAAATGCATAAATATTCTTTATAAAGAAAGAGAAATATGTACCTACGTGGTACTGGTGGATAAGTATATGCCCTTCCTATTTCCAAATTACATATTATTTCCTAATGTGCTATTATAACATACACATGGTTTCATACACACACATAATCCCACAGTGATCTTAGATTCACTGGACATATTAACTGGATCTAAATTAAGTGATATCAATGCCACATGTTATATAGAATAAACCCTCAAAAATCTCATTCTCTCTCTTGCCATCTTTTTAGAACTACCACCATCAACTTTAACTTCTTAACCTATCAATTTTTCCTACTACTTCTCTCTAATTTTCCTCTATTTAAAAAAAAAATTATGAAACATTTCAAGAATCAACTAAGGCTTAGGAAATCATATAATGAATGCCTCCCCTTAAGCTTAGTCAAATTTTAACATTTTCCCATATTTTTAAGAGAAATATAACATTACAGATATAGCTATAGCTCTATATGTATCCTTCCCCAATCCCATTACCCTCTCCAGATGTAACCACAATCTGAAATTAGATATCTGCCATTCTTATACATGTTTTTACTTTGTAATACCCATGTATGTATCCATTAAAAAATGTACATTCCTTACATATTTTTAAACACAAGGTAAGCAGTATCCTTAAGCTTCCACTCTTTATTCATCTACTCTGGTTCATTTACTGTAACTGTTGTGTAGAATTTAACCCACATATATAATTTATTAATCTATTTTCCTGTTCACGAATATTTAGGTTATTTCTGGTTTTTTGCTATTATCAAAATACTTCCATGAACATTCTTCTACCTGTCTCTTTTTGAACAAGTGAGAGTTTCTCTAAAGTAGGCCACAACAGGGTTACTAGAAATAAATTATTAGATATTGCTAAATAACTCCCCAAGATGGTTGGGCCATATTTTTATTTTCACTTAGTCAGCAAGAAGACAGGAAACACTTTATCTTCAATCATACTCATTTCCAGTGGAGAGGTACTAATTCACCCTTTCTTACTATCCAAGTCCCACATATTGAAAATTTGCATTTACACCATTATTTTAAAAGTTCATCAAATTGTAACACTTATTAACTCTCAAATTAAATTTAAGGACTTTCTTAAAATTGATAGTAAAATATTTCAAGGACATAAATTTAAACCTAACATAAGTCTTAAAGGTTGTAACCATTAACAGTCTTTCAGAGGAAAAAATGTATCATCTATTAGCATCATACGGGAAAATTTCACTAATCACTTCATTCAAGGTATATTTTCCTCTAATTTAGTGTCTCTCAAAGTATAGTCCCCAAAACACCAGCACTTGGAATCACATGGGGAGAAGCCTACTCCAAGTCTATGAATTGTCCTGGAGGCAGGTGGACCCTACTGACCAGAAACCTATATTTCTTAACAAGTATGCCAGGTGATATTTACACTCACTAAAGTTTGAGAACCACTGTTCTAATTAACGTGATTTTAAACGCAACAATACTTAAAAAAAAAAAAAAAGTTACCTGAGAATCACGAAGCTGATTATGAAAACGCTGAATTAAATCATTTAATTCTTCATTTAGTTCAGATGTGATACTGACTCCAGACACGCTACCTGTAGTTTCTGCAACAGCTGGAAAGAAAATTAAAAACTATTCATTAATATAAATAAATCAAATACCTTTTTAATTTCTGAGAAGCCAAAAATAAATTTTGAAAAAACAAAAGAATTAAAAAAATCTCACCTAACATATTTTGAAACTAGTAACCCTCATATTTATCTGGAAACAATCATTTTATTAGATGTTTCCATCTAACCTAAAAACAGACAATCACAAAACTCTATAATAGTGTTCCTTTTCTATTCCAACATTCTAGGAGGGATACTATTACATTCCAATTAATAATAGTGACTCAATGTAGTGGGGATGGGGCAGCTCTATCAGTTAGTTTAGGTTGAGGGAGCGGAAGGGAAAAGTGGTAGTCTGAAAAAGCACAGCTGATTCTGACAGGTCTCAATCTCCACGTCTTCTAATAGAATCAATGCTGGCACACTCTGATTTTGTACAGGGGCTGGCAAATTTTCCTTAAAGGTTCAGACAGTAAACGTTAGGCTTTGTGAGAAACAGTTTTTGTCTCACCTACCCAACTCTGCTCTTATAGGGCAAAAGCAATCATAGACAATACAAAAAAAATGGGCATGGCTGTGTTCCATCAAACTTTATTTCAGGCAGTGGGCCAATTCCAGCTGGCCATAGTTTGTTCACCCCTGCAGTAAAATAGTTAATTTACTGAAGTAGTTGCTTGTGATACAAGTCATACAGGCTTATCACTAATATGAAAATCTGAAATCTGAGATGCTCCAAAATCTGAGACTTTGAGCACTGAGAATACACTCAAAGGAAATGTTCATTGGAGCATTCTGGGTTTCAGATTTTCAGGTTAGGGATGCTGAACCAGTAAGTATAATGTAAATATTCCAAAGTCTAAAAATATCTGAAATCCAAAACACTTCTAGTCCCAAGCATTTTGGATAAGGAATATTCAACCTTTACTAAAAAACTGTGGTTATCTTAATTTTTAAAAAAATGACCTCATATTCCTAAAGCAGTTTTCTGGTGACAATTTTGATAGTAGTTACTGCTTTCTAACTCTCCTGCTCTAAAAGAGACAGTGGCAATAAACTGCTTCTGTTTTAAAGGTAAATACCAGCTTTTCCACCCAGAAATTAGAATTTCAAGGCAGGATGGAATCCCATGTATCTAGCACAAATTCTACACTGAAAATAAATTACAGTCCAGATAACTAATACACAACTTGCTAGTTAAATGGTGAAAGGACCACTCTTTCCCATAACTGTGTTCCCTCTCTTACATACCAGAAGATAAAATACTATAATTTTGAGTTTTCATCAGTATTCCCCTGCAAAATCTCATAAATACAGGAGCAAAATTATTTTAAAATTACTAAGCTGAAATTCCTTTCAAAATAGTATACACAATAAATTCAAATTCAAACTCCTGTTTAAAAAAGAAATTACCTGCTTATTTAAAAGAAAAAAGTTCATATTCAGAAACAGAAAGAAGACGCCTGACCTAGAAATTCAAGAGATTTGATACTACTAAAATTCTGTATAAGCCTAGGCAAGTCGCAAACTGTGTCAGAGTTCCTTCTCTGTGAAACGGAAATACGAATAAAAGCTCTGACAACTAACCTACAATTCTGTGATGATCAAATGAGATGATGTAAATGTAAATATTTGAGATTAATATAACCATCACAGGTGAGTCTTTGAAATCTGACACTCAAAACTTGAAAAATATTTAATAGACTAGTCACTAACCAAACTACTATTAGTCATTATGTTAAAATATGATAATTATATTTCCTAAATTATTTTTCTAAACATAAATATAAAAGCTAATGATACTTTGGATTTTACAAGGGAAAAATGGTGACAAAAATCTGTGAAATTATTACTATACACTATACTACGTACAACTATTTATTTATTTACTTATTTTTAGGTGAGTCAAGTGAAGCAATGAGACTGGAAAAAGTACAAAGAAATCTGTAAGTGGTTGTGATCAATTAGTTGTAAATACCACTGTATTTGGACCACCACAACTATATAATTATTAAAAAAGAGTAAATTACTTGAAAGTCATAAAGTTCCTTATGAAAATGCAAAATTAAATTAGGTATAACAGTGATCAGACAACTGAGTCAGTGGGCTGGGTTTGGACAGCAGGACAAACAGATTAACAGCAGAGTAGCCTCAGTGAGGACCTAAACTCACTAGCAAAAATGGAGTGCCCAATGGATATAAATTATTATTAGAATGGGATGGTGGGGGGCCAGCCCGGTGGCGCACTGCTACAGTGCGCCGCTTGGGAGCGCAGTGGCGCTCCCGCGGAGGGTTCGGATCCCACATACAGACCGGTTCCCACTCACTGGCTGAGCGAGGTGTGGGAGCAACACCGAGGGTTGCGATCCCGTTGCCGGTCCCGGTCCGGTACGGGC